ACCACCTTGAGTTGCAGACCAGCTTGGGTGATATAGTGACAAGATGTCCTTGAACTACATAGAGACCCTGTCTCAAAACACAAAACAACAACAAAAAAAATTACATCTAAACTAAAAATGACTGAGGATGAAAGGGGTGAAGGGAGGGCAGGGGTATAGGGAAAAAATGAGAACCAAGATCTGACATGTAAAGGTACAAAATCCCAATGATGAATGTAACTGTACTGTTTACCTAAAAAGTACCAATAAACTCGATGAAAAAAAAAATAACAGAGTGGATACCTTTCTGTAGAGAGAATGTTGGTCTAGACTTGAACATAATATTTTGTTGCCAAACCCTCTTGACAAGGCCTTAGGATCCACTTTTCTTAGAGTTTCTTCAGGGATTCAGCTTTCTTTCCTCTTCATAGTTCCTGAGTTCTTTGGGTCTGGCTTTGCAACTTTCCAAAGTTGTAACCTGTGCTTTTCTTGCTGTCCTTCAGGGCAAATATTTAGCTGGTCTTATTTTAAGGACTTTTACTTATTATCAGTAAAGAAAACTCAAACCTAAGGCCTTGAGAATACTAAGAAAGTACTCTACCACTTAATCTGAAATGAGTTTTCCAAATATTTTATATGCCTCTATGGGGAAGTGAAAGTACCTCCTTTTCTACAGATAGTAGATCAGCAGCATTTGTGTTGCCTGGGCCTTGTGCCTGAAACTGCTCGTTCCAGGTGTGTTAACCAAGTAGGTCCTTTTCTTCAGTTCAGATACTGCAGATTCTTGTAATAAAAATATAGTATCAGTAAGAATGTCCAAGGGGCCAGGGATTTAGCTCAGTGGTTCTGCTTCGAAAGCACAAGGGCCGGAGTTCGATCTCTGGTACCAAAAAAAAAAAAGAATGCCCAAAACAAATCTTACTCTATTTAATGAGTTGCTGTATCTTGGCAAGATCTTTTGTGGTCCAGAATCTTCTGAATATCCTGCAAGTCTGGAACTTTACCTAAGACCTTTTCCTTGGGTGACCTTGGCTTAGGAAAAATGGCACACTTGATCCTGGTTAGAAGTAGCTACTTCATGTTATTGAAGAGTGATTTGGAATATGGATCAGAAGCTTTAAAAAATATGCATGCAATTTGATTCAGTTGATTTATTTTTGTGTTGAGCAATGAAGTTTTGAATCAAATTAAATTGATTATCACATTTTCGCTTTTCTTATTACCTACAGTAGGACAAGTAGTATGTCCCTTGTCTTGTTTAAATAGCAGTTCAACTAGTTAAACCCTTCAATAGTATTTACTTTTGTCTTAAGAGCACACATTCATAGGTTTAGCAGGTGGTAGTTCTATACACAAAATAATGTAACAGTTTTTTAAATAAAATTTTATAGCACATTTATATTATTTAAATAATTGAAATAGTTTAATTATATTACTCATACATATTTTTTTCTGACAAAAGTGTGTCATAAGTACCTATACTGCTTTGCAAACTGTTACTTAATTTAACTTTTTATTATGTCAATAAATGCAGGCCAATGCTTATCATTTTTTTTTTTGGTGTTGGAGACTGAATGCAGAACTTTGTGCATGCTAAGTACATTCTCTTACCATTGAGCTATGCTTATTATTTTTAGTGACTACAAAATTTTTTTTTCTTTTGTTTTTGTTTTTGTTTTTTTGAGTCAGAGTCTCACTATGTAGTTGAGACTGACCTGGAACTCACTATGTAGCCCAGGCTGGTCTCGAACTCACAGCGATGTGTTACACTTTAAAATAGAAAACCACTTTGGGGTTGTGTGTGAAAATTCTTTCAAGAACCTTAACTTGCAGGGCTGGGATTTGGTTCAGTGGTTCCTTTGCCTGCCTTGTAAGCATAAGGGCCAGAGTTCGATCCCCAATACCAAAAAAAAAAAAAAAAAACTTTAACCTGCATATTTTCTTTTTTGCTCACTACATTTCACTCTTCCTTCTCCCCTTTTTTAATAATTATGAACAATAATCTTGTCATACTTGAGATTATTTTCTTTGTGCACTTTAACAAATTTTACAAAAGTATTTTGATATAGGTAACTTGAGTGACATTCATAGGAAGCACTTTTATAAGAAGGTGGGATACTTACTTGCAAGTGAGGTAAAAGGAATAATAGAGGAAATCAGGTAAAATAGATGAAGTAGACAGAAGTATAAGAGGGCATTTCATGTTGTTTCCAAAATGCAATGCAGTTTGATCAGTGTCTTACTCAAGTTTTAGTCTTCAAGTAGTCTTTGAACCAACCATAGGTGTAAAACCCATAACTACTTAGAAAAGAGATTAATTTAAGTAAAAAATTTGAAATTCTTGACATTATATTCATATTCAGTAGGGAACAGCTTTAACTTTAGTTTTAAGATGCTCCATAAACAATAAACTACAAAGTTTTCAACAGTTACTTGACATATATTTAATAATATGTGTGATTAGCTGGGCGTGGTGCATATGCCTTTAATCCCAGCACTTGGGAAGCTGAGGCAGGAGGATTGCTGTGAGTTCGAGACCAGCCTGGGCTACAGAGTGAGTTCCAGGTCAGTCTCAATTGCATAGAGATCCTGTCTCAATTTAATAATTATGAACAATAATCTTGTCATACTTGAGATTATTTTCTTTGTGCACTTTAACAAATTTTACAAAAGTATTTTGATATAGGTAACTTGAGTGACATTCATAGGAAGCACTTTTATAAGAAGGTGGGATACTTACTTGCAAGTGAGGTAAAAGGAATAATAGAGGAAATCAGGTAAAATAGATGAAGTAGACAGAAGTATAAGAGGGCATTTCATGTTGTTTCCAAAATGCAATGCAGTTTGATCAGTGTCTTACTCAAGTTTTAGTCTTCAAGTAGTCTTTGAACCAACCATAGGTGTAAAACCCATAACTACTTAGAAAAGAGATTAATTTAAGTAAAAAATTTGAAATTCTTGACATTATATTCATATTCAGTAGGGAACAGCTTTAACTTTAGTTTTAAGATGCTCCATAAACAATAAACTACAAAGTTTTCAACAGTTACTTGACATATATTTAATAATATGTGTGATTAGCTGGGCGTGGTGCATATGCCTTTAATCCCAGCACTTGGGAAGCTGAGGCAGGAGGATTGCTGTGAGTTCGAGACCAGCCTGGGCTACAGAGTGAGTTCCAGGTCAGTCTCAATTGCATAGTGAGATCCTGTCTCAAAAAACAAAACAAAACAAAACATATATGATTGTTACAATGCTATAAAGTAGTTAAGCTTAAATATTTTTTTATCTATTTTAATATCAGTTTTCTATAGCCAGACCTCAACTTTTCTGGGACCAACCTAAAAGAAAAAAGATAGGACAGACAAGAAAGCTGTCACCAAAATTTCTAGCGTAGAGTGTGGAGAGAATTGGACTTCTTGAGCAGGGGTTGCTTATAACCTGAGTTATAATTCTAGAGTCCAAACTCCATATTGTTCTCACTCAGGACTGTCTTCTAGAATCTGGGAAAACTCAGCCACTGTTTTACTTTCTCTTAACTAGTTTCCTGCCTCCTAACTGGAGCTGGGGATACAGAGGTCCCAGTCATTCATAGTCAGTGCCTGACAGACAGGTTCTTTCCCCTGTAAGGCCAAGCTGGCTCCACCTCTCAAGGTCTGAGCTATGATGGGTGCTGTATTTGAGTTGTCCTGTTACCCTGTGTCTCTGAGAATTTGTGAACCCTGATTTCTCATCTTTTCTCAATTTAGGCTGTGTACAGCAGATATAAGAATATCCAGTGCGTATGAAGCAAAATTTAATAAAACCAAAGTAAGCATGAATACCAATCCAAATCAAAGTATGATAGCTTAGAATACGCTTTTTTCGTACCATGCCATATGCTCTACCCACATGCCCCAGTTGAGAATTGCACTTATTTTTGTCTCTGTGAAAGTAGGGACAAGGCACAGATTGTAAGCTCAGTGAAAATAACTGGGAATCATTGCTACTGCTATTGCGACTTTTTAGGCATGATCTCTGTTCTCCTTGCAGCCTCACTGTGTGCAGTGGTCATTGATGGTTCACTAGTTCTCATTCAAGGGCTATATTGATGGTATTAAATTTTTATGCTATCTAAAAGGGATAATGTAATGGTTAAAAAATTGCCTGATACTACTTTCAGAACCTTGTATTTGTTCGATATTAGTTAATAGAGTCAGCATTTCTATCAAATGTAACTCATTAATGAAAATGCCTAATGTTTGGTACTGTATTACCATTATAAGGTATTTTTACATATATTATCTTTATCTCTCATTCATACATCATTGTGTGAAAGAGGTGTTATTTGGAATCATTTTTCAGGAAGAAAAATTATGGGTTCAAAGAAGTTAAGTGCTATGTTTACATTCAGACAGCTAGTAAGAGTCCTGAATCTATCTTTTGATTTATTTTTCAGACCTTTTACAGATCTGCCAAATCAATTTATGTAAAAATGTACAGTTAGTGATTTAAAAACATAATAAATTTTAAATAATTTAGGTTATAACAAATTTTTTATTTAAGTAAACTTTAGGACAAAAGTGTTAACAGTTTTTCAAAATAGATCAGTTATATCTTGTGACAAATGAAAAATTGCCATATAGATAAGAAGTTAAGCCATGTTTGGTGCGCACGCCTGTAATCCCAGCTCTTGGGAGGCTGAGGCAGGAGGATAGCTGTGAGTTTGAGACCAGCCTGGGCTGCATAGTGAGTTCCAGGTCAGTGTCAACTAAATAGTGACACCCTGTCTCAAACCCCCCGCAAAAAGTTAAACCATGTGTTACATAAGCAGCTGAGGAAAGAAAATTAAATTTGCTTTGAAATGCTGTTTTAGGACTGTTTTAGTAAACTAAATCTATAGCATAAATGATAAAGTAGAAAAACAATGTGAAGTACCCATGCATTTTATCGATTAGATGTTTCATCAAAGATTTTGATGTCAAGGTGACATATTTTGAGAAGAAATGACTAATTTCTCCCTTTTTCATAATACTTTTCAGATATTTCAATCAAAGGAAGAAATAGTTCTCCTAAGATGGAATCTGTGATTTGGGAATGTGGTTGATCAACTTGATAAGTTGGCCTAATGTGCCCTGTGTAATAAAATGAAGAGACAAGATGATGTCATTTTTCCATATTGTGAAACCAAAAACAGATGCCTTTTGTGAGACCAAGCTAACAAACCTCTGATGGTACAGAGTATTTAACTGTTTGAAGAACTTAACAGTGAAATACTGAAGTAGTTTCAAGCCGAGACCTGCAGGTGTATATTGACCTAACATACATATTAAGTAAGCCTGATCATCCAAATCTCAGCAGATCCAGAAGAATGGCTATAAGTTGGATTGTCTTCTATCTTTGGCTCTTGACTGTGTTTGTGGGGCATATAGGTGGGCACAGTTTATTTTCTTGTGAACCCATTACCTTGAGGATGTGCCAAGATTTGCCTTATAATACTACCTTCATGCCTAATCTTCTGAATCATTATGACCAACAGACAGCAGCATTAGCAATGGAGGTAAGACCTAATCTATCCTTTGATCTATCTTAAAAAAATGACTTAACATTGCCCTGTCAATATGCTGTTTTCACTTATATCCTGAACATTAAAAATTTTATGTATCTTGATTCGTATTTTAAGAGATTGAACAATCTAGAATATGGGTGAAAAATGCCATTCAGAAATTCTAAATTATCCTAGTTATGTAATTACATTGTTGTTTGGCTAATAAACTTTAGATAAAAGAGCAGAATATGATAACTGAGCAGTTTTAGTCATTAAGTATTGCATATAATGTGATTTTTAAAAACAAGTTACTTGAATTTTTAAAGAGGATTTCTCCAAATTTTATTATATTCACAGGGTTATTGTTAAGCTCATAGAGATAAGTGACACTTATATTAAAGAACTTTAAAAAGTTGAAGTCCTGTGTGAATACAGAGCATTATACTTTGTTGCCTTTCACTTTATTTTTAGTTATTATGTAGAAGAGCAATCTTTAATCTCAGGGCTGTTGATTGCTTGTCTCCTTTTTTAAAAAAACTGGGCCTTTGTATGATCACAGGAAAAACTCCTGCAAAGTTTTGTATTTGTCTCTATTTCCTGTTTTCCTTTGTCGTTCTCATTAAAGATTTATTTTTGAAGGTTTTCTACTAATGGGAGCATAGGAAACTAGCAGCAGGATAGATCCTAGTAGGAACACAGAGCAGACCTGAACATCCGTGGTATCTTTTTATTTTAAAACACACACACACACACACACACACACACACACACACATATAATTTTTAGTTGACATGTGATAGTTATACATATTTATGGAGTGCAGTGAGATTTCAATACAGTACATATGTACAGTGTGTAATCAGATCAGTGTAATTGGTGTATTTGTAACCTTGGACAATTTTCATTTCTTTGTGTTGGAAACATTCACAATGTTCTCTGCTAGCAATTTTGAAATATTTAATTGTTGTCAACCGGTCGTTCTATTGTGCTACACAGAACATTAGAAGTTATTCCTTCCATCCAACTTCATCCCTCTAGCCAGTAATCATCTTCTCTCTGTCTCCTTTAGCCCCCGCCTTTCCCAGTCTCTGATAGCCACTGTCTTCGATGTCTTTTATTGTGCATTAAGAATAAAGTATGTTGGTCAGGCGTGGTGGCGCACACCTGTAATCCCAGCACTCAGGAGGTTGAGGCAGGAGGATCACTGTGAGTTCAAGACCAGCCTGGGCTACATAGTGTGAGTTCCAGGTCAGTCTCAACTACATAGTGAGACCCTGTCTCAAAAAACCAAAAATAAATAAATAAATAAAAATAAGAGTAAAGTATGTTTGAACCAGTCTTCAGCCTCCCAGTTACCTAAACTCAAATTTTAGTGTTTTGTTTTGTTTTGTTTTGTTTTTTGTTTTTTTACTAGGGATTGAACTTAGAACTTTGCCCTTGCGAGGAAGGTTGACAGTACCACTGCACTAAATCCCTGGCTCTGTGACTTTAGTTTTTTAAGAAACTCTTTACTATTGAAATTTTATCAAAAGAATAATCTCTGAAAATATATAAAAAGTACCATAGTCACTTTCTCATTATCACCAGTATCCAGTGAAATTCAAATTACTCTTCAGTATTTCATAGCTTTTTTTGCATTGGCTTTTTCAGATCAAGGTCCATATGCTATTTTAAGTTCCTTAAATTTCTTTTAACTTTTTTTAGATTTCCTTTTCTTTCCCTTTCTGTTTGTTCTTGTAATATTTGTTCTATAGTTCCCATAGTCTGTATTTTCCTGATTGTATCCCAGTGGTGGTGTTTTACCATGGTCCTCAGTCTCCTTTATTTTCTGTTAACAGGTAGCATAGAGGCTTGATTAGATTCAGGTTTGTTTTTTTTTAATTTTTGAAAAAATATTTCATAGGTTGTGTGATCTATTTCCACTGGGAACCACATAATATCTAGTTGTCATTCTTTTAGTAATGTTAGCAGCCACTGATCATTTCCAAGATCAATAGTTTTATTAGGAGTTTGAAAGAAGGTAATAAACTATCATTCATCATTTCTCTGCTAAAATGCTTCATAGAATTTCTTTATTAACTATTGAGTGAGTTTCACTCATAGTTACTAAGAAAGATAGGAAGAGTAGCTGGGCATGGCGGTGCATTCTTGAGGCAGGAGGATTGAAAGTTCAAGCCTAACCTGAGCAATTTAGCAAGACCCTGTCTCAAAATTTAAAAATTAAGCCAGCACAGCCTTAAAAAAAAATGGAGGAGGAGAAATAATATGAGAAGGGGAAGTAGGAGGGATGGGCGACAGGGAGAAAACAAAGATGAGAAAGATACCTGTGCATTCCTCTTTAGTAGTTTGTGGAATAATGAGTTGATTACCAAACATCACAGGTGACCAGTGAATTTCTTTTAAGTATTGTTAGGAACTGTACTAATTTTTTTTTTTTTTTTCACATCAGATAGCGCTTTGCTGCCTTATAACAAGTTTTACACAGTATGGAAACCCAGTTTTGTTTTGTTTTGTTTTTGTTGTTGTTGTTGTTTTTGGTACTGGGGATTGAACTCAGGTCTTTGCACTTGCAAGGCAGGCCACCAAACCGCTGAGCTAAATCCCTGGCCCCAGGAAACCCAGTTATTAAGTTTATGAATCAAAGAAGGATCGGGCAGAGGATGTAGCTTAGTGGCAATGTGCCTGCCTCACAAGCACAAGGTCCTGAGTTCAGTCCCTGATAACTGCAAAAAAAAAGGTCGGGGGGAAGAAGGATCAGATTTGGATATTTAATTTTTTCTTTTTTGTACCAGGGATCAAACTCGGGACCTTGCACTTGTGAGGCAGGCTGCAGAACCACTGAGCTAGATCCCCAGCCCTATTTGTTGTATTTTTAATCTTTCACCATTGTTATTCCTACTGAGACTCAAGGTGGTCCATCTTTGTAGTGGAAGCCTCCACAGGTGACTCTTTAGTGTTTGCTACCACCCTAGTGATCTTCAAAAGTTCCCTTATTTTCTAATACCATTTAGGCTTATGTCATAAATCCCACCTCATACCTTGAGTTGTTAATGTCTCCAACTAGAAATACTTAGAGATCATTGGTTGGATGCTGAGTCCATTGATCCTAGGTTAGTCATTTATAGGCCTTTTCATGATAAAGCCAGGAAATACTTTTCTTTAAAAAAGAGAAAGCCCAATGTGAGTTTATAATATGCAAGGTTTTTACTTAACATCATTGAACTTGTAATTTTTCTCTTTCCTTATACTAAACCTTTATCATACGTATGCATTATATAGTTTCAAAATAAGAAGAGCAATATTATTACTAACAATATGATTACTGAGAGCTGTTTATGATTTCTTTATGCTTCTTTTTCTCCTAAAGAATACATCTTACCAGGGATTGTATTTGAAAGACATTTCTACCAGTCCTTTCCCCTAAAGCCATTTATAATTTTTTGTTTATATTTTCATTATAAATAATTTCTATTATAAATTTTTAAAATGTTTATATAATCTCTAACTACATAGATTTTGTTTATCTTTTATTCATTACTGGGGACTTAATCCAGGGTCTTCACACTGACTATATTCCCAGTCCTTTTTATTTATTTTTATTTTGACACAGAGCCTTGCTAGGTTAATCACTGAATTGCCCAAGCTGGACTTGAACTTGCAGTGCTCCTGCCTCAGCCTTCCACAGTGCTGGGATTACAGTTGTGTGCTGCCACACCTAACTTCCATAGATTCACCTTGTTTTTAATATGGTTTCCCATTATGATATGGTGTGGGGTTTTTTCTTTACCTTACTTTTTAACTTAACAATATGTCTTGGATATTCCATAGCAGCATTTATAGATATTCTGCATTAATTTTTTAAAAATTTAGTGAGACATACATAACATGAAATTTACAATTTCATCTCCAGGACCTTCCAAAATTAAAATTCTGTATCCATGAAACAGCAACTATCCCCTTCCAAGGCCTTGGCAACTATTTTATTTTCTGTGCCTATGAATTTGAGTCCTCTAGTGACTATATATTCAGCGTCTTAACAGTGTTTGTCCTTTTTGTGATTGCCTGATTTCTCTTAGCATGTCTTCAGACTTCATCCATGTTGTACCATGTGAAGGAATTTCCCTCCCTTGTAAGACTGAGTAATTATTCCATTATATATAAAGATCACATTTTGTTTTATCTGTGTATCCCTCAGTGACCACTTGGTTTCTTCCTTCCTGTTGGCTACTCTGAATGGTATGGCTATAAACCTGGATGTACAATTTGTCTGAGTCTCTACTTTTGTTTCTTTTGAATATACTACATACCCAGAAGTTAAATTGCTAGATCATACAGTAATTCTATGTTTAGTGTTTTGGGGGCTTTTTGTTTGTTTGCTTGGTTTTTGTTGTTGCTGCTGTTGTTCAGCTTTTTTGCAGTGCTAGAGATCAGAGCCAGGGCCTCATGCGTGCTAGGCAAGCACTCTCACAAACGGTGTTTACTGTTTTCAGGACCTGACACACTCTTTCCAAAGTGGCTTTACCATTTTACATTCCCACCAGTAATGTAGAAGGATTCCATTTCTCTGTATTCTCACTATCACTTCCTATTTTCTTCTCCCTTCCTTCCTCCTTCTTCCTTTTTATTGTTTGTCTTTTCTTATAGCAGCTATCCCAATGGATATGAAGTTATCTTCATATTTTCACATTGTTGGATATACAGTGTTTATTCATTCATTTTTTATTAATAGATATTTGGGATTTTTCTCCTCTTAGCTATTACAAATACTGTTGTATGTGTGTTTTCAAACTTTTGCTAGTGTATTTTTGGGATAGATTCCTAGATGCTCAGCTGTACGTGTTGCTTTGCTGTAAATTGTCAAATCTCTCAATAGGAGTTGTACCATTTTGTGTTCTCACTAGCAAAGTGTGAGTGTACCTGTTTATTTACATTGTTATCTATAGAATATGTTGGGGTTTTTTTTTTGTTGTGTGTTTGTTTGAAACCAGTGATCTCCATCATTGACTTATGGA